CCTGCGCAAAGCCCCCATTCCCCACGGAGGCGGCGAAAGCTCAGGAGTCGGCACCTGAAATCTTCATTTTCCCACGCTGTTTTGGTAAGTCGGCCCCAGAGACTGCACCAGGGCGGACTCTCTAAGAAGACTTCCCTTTTCCTCTCGGCTCTGCTGGCTCACAAACAGGTGATACCACATCACATCCCCAATGCCTAAGTCATAGCTGGAATGTGCTGCCAGGTGCTTTGGAAACCTTGGAAAAAGCGGCCAACTCGGGGCCACAGGCTTCCCATCGGTCTGCCAAGGAACCTGTGTGCTGTGCCTGCCTGCCTGTCCTTCCAGCGATGCCACTGCAGCTCCAGGCTGGCTGCTTGAGGAAAGCACAGGAAAAGAGGAGAATCTGCACTGGAAAAAAAGCATCACTGGCGCCAGGCTGCCCTATCCAGAGGAAGGGCAAAGGAAGAGGTGACGCGAATTAAAAATACACCTTTCTCTGAGGTATTACTCTCTCCTGTGTGGCGACTGTTTTACCTGTCATGAGCATGAGAACCCGGATGAAGAAATGTTGCTGGCTGGAGAATGCAGGTGCTCCCGGGACCTCCTCTCTCCCATGGCACGTGGGTGGCCCTAGCCAAAGTGTTGCACGGAAATCATTATTTGTGTTGTCAGAGGCTAAAAGCGTCTATGTAAATATTCCAGGGAGGGGTTAACAGCGCAGATTGAATCCCCACCCAACCCACAGCATCACGAAGAAGGCAGGTCAGTCCCGACCCAGGTTGCAATTAAAGAGCGTGATGTGGTTGAAGTTGTCCCTGCCTGCTTTTCTTCTGGGTTTAAAGTTCTTCCGTGATGCAGCTGCTTTTAGGGCAGGTTTATTATTAGTCTGATCTACAACAGGACCTCCTTGGCTCCCTGGGATGATCAGGAAGCCCACAGAGGGAGCAAGCACACAGGCTGCCTATGGCAGCCCTGCAGAGCACATCTGGTCACTCGGTTAAGTGCAGTTTAGCTGTGATCAGCAGTAGTAGAGGGAGTTTGTGGTATAATGCAGGCTTGGAACCAGGCTTAGCCTCCCCATAGCACCTTGCTGGTCACTTTTGGCAGGAAGCAGCAAGATACAAAGGAACATTAAACCTCACACTTCAGAGCTTGAGCCAAACACACTTGGAGATGTGGAAGAGATCTCACACGTGCATTTATTTTTTTTATATAGGAAAGACCTTCTTTTTCCTTTGAAGGAAGCAGGGATATGTGTGCTGGCAAGGGGCGAAGTGCATGCACTTCGAAGCTGCTGTGGGATGGCAGCTCCTAGACCAACGGGTGCACGAGGGAAGGTGGCCGCAGCGGGGACAGACTCACCCTGCAGCTGGGCTGGGCCGACAGCTCCCACGCAGCAGGCAGCAGCTCTCCTGTTCAGGGACCTCTCTCTGGTGGGAAGCAGAAGGTGCTTGAAAGCTGAGCAAGGAAAAGGACAACGTATCACAGGAAGCCTTTACAGAGCCAGAAACAGCCTCTACACCCCCGCTGCATGGGGCGATCTGCAGAACCCAGTATATTTGCTAGCAACTTGAGTCCATGGGGTTAACAATGTCTCTTCAGTACTAACATCAGCCACCTCAAAAAAGGTTTCTGGTCAGACTTTCAGTTTCCTCAGCAGGCCATGCAGAGGGGTATCACTCTGGGATGCCCTGAGGCACAGAAGTCCAATAGCCCAGTACAACTAAAAAGTGAAAAACAAGGCTACTCTTCATGGCAATGCCTTTTCCTTTGTTTCTCTAACATATACACAGTTCTCTCCAGCTGAATCCATTATTCATTACCTCTTTGCAGGTAACGAATCCCCAGGCTTCCTCATCTCCTTCATCCTCAGGGCTTTCCCGATGCCGCCCTCACCGGACCGTTTGCTTGTCTGAGCTCCTGCAGGGCTCATGCCCCTTCTCGTGGGAGACCCTCAGCACAGTTTGAGGGCCCTTGCTGCAACAGCCTGACCTTTTCCAGGGTTGCAGGGAAGCTGCAACTGTTCAGAGCGAGGGGGACGCTGCTCTGGTGGGCAGAACCGCCGCAGGGACACGCGGTGGCCCCAGCGCCAGCCCCACGGCGCATGTGCGCCCCATGTGCGGCCCTGCGCCCCTGCCAGCTGTGCTCCCCTTCCTGCCCGGCTCCACATGCGTGTGGTTTTAAAGGGATGAGATCATCTTTTGAAAAGGCTCCATGTGCGGCTACAAACAGACCCCAGAGCTGCCTGTGATCCAGGAGAAGCACGGAGCCCGTGTTAATGAGGTTTGCCATTTCCTCCAAAATGGGATGCTCGCTGCATGTCACCAGGACTGCTTGGGGACCAGATTGCTCTGGCCTGCAGAAGGGTCTCCCTCCCCCTCCTTTCAGGCGGGAGTAGAAAGGAAAGTGCAAACCCTTCCACAGCAATTCCTGAAGCAGTTCCGGAGCTGCCTGGGTCCTGCTGAGGCGCTGGGCACACGGGTCCCCACAGGAGGCTGGGGTCTGCGGAGAGCTCCAGGGGAGAGTGACCTGCTCCAGGGAGGCGTTCCAAAGGGAGCAGTTTTCCTCAAGAATTGTGAGGCCGATCCTAAGCACAGTCCAAACATTGAAGACATTTAGGAATATGTAAAATGTGTAATGAAGACATTTGGGAATAAATAAGAAAAAAAAAAAAAGCCTTCATCCACTACTACATTTCAGCAATCCTTGAATCCCCTGCATCCCTGCAGATCTCTCCCTGATCCAGCAGGACCCACCCAGGAGGAATAAAGACATCGGCAGGACTCCTGCTTCTCCTCCACAGTAGCACCCCCTGCACTGACACTGCCAAAGCTTCCTCCCGTAGCAGATTTCCCTGGAGCTTCACAGGCTCAGCTGCCTACTGGATCACACCACGTTGGGTTATCCTTCTTACTCCAACTTCTCTATCCTACTGCTAGGGAACAGTCCCCACCTAGCAGCACTGTGCACCTCCCTGCTCCCCATTTCCCAACAGCATGATGAATTTCCACAGGATTTACAGTAATCATCATCAGCACCCGACTGTTGATTTCAGTCTGCCTCCTCCCGGAGTGACCTGCACAAACACAGATCTCTCTTCTGTTCCCAACAGCAATTTTAATTGGATACTCTTCCAGCTCCAGAGCCAAGCTCTGGCTTGTGGAGACTCCCAGGGACTCCTC